AATATAAAATTATTTTGTAGTGAACCGATGTTAAAGGAGTAATATCGTTTTGATTGTATGTTTTTGTGGTTGAATTAACCAAATGCCCCCTTAGCGTAAATAATATTAGCGTTAATTTAGGCCTAGGCTTACTTCTGAGTGAAAAAAATAAGGAAATACAACAGGCATAATGAAGCTTTTTTTTATAACAAAATGTATTACAGCAAACAGGCTAATAAACCTAGGCCTATATAATCTTGTCATTTCGAAAAACAAGTTCAGAAAATGCAACGGATACTTTGCACCAAAATTGAAATATAAAACTAATAAACAAAGAACCGGTCTCCGCAATGTACATTCTTGTGACATGGCATCATAGTAATCAGCGTTCTAATGAGTTGTTTATACATTGAGTAAATAACAAAAATATTTCACACAAAACATGCAGATCAAAATGATAAATAAGTGCTCATATTTAATAATAATAATATAATATTTATTTATTTAGTAAACACTTTACATCATCGGAAGTAATGGTACGTCCCTCCATAGAGTCAACAAGCAGATGATTCATTGCTACTTAGGCCTATATTGTTTACAAAATATCGTAAAAATGCCTAAATACATACTACGAGGTTAAATACAAGATGAATAATGCATAGATGATGGAATGAATGAGTGGACGAAGGATAGGCTATGCTTACTGATCGATTGGGAGCTTATTAAAAACATACATAAATAATGATAATATGCTGTATACAGGTACCGTACTTAATCTAGTACGAGTAGTAGCTTCCTATTGGGGGTAGATTCACCCATTGGGGGTAGTACATTGTCCCCATTGGGGGAATTCAGGGAGAGAAGATTGCGAGCCTGACAGCAGACCTGATTGATATACGATGTAAATAAATAAATATTAGAGTCTGATGCAAATTACTGATAATGTATATGTAAATAAAAAACGAGACAAAAAAAACAAAAAAACAACGCTTAACTGATAAAGAGATTATTAAAGCCTCGCCCGCTAAAACTACAATTTTGCTCCTCTGATAACATTTGTGAAATTGGGTTAATCTCAAAATTATTTGACCGACTCAACTGACATTTAAAAATGAAGGAAACAGATTGTCACACAAAAAATGTATGATTTTGTTTCTCTGGATTTACCCACTGAGATATTTTGGTAGGATAAATATAATGTCCTGTAATCAGTAGTCTCCGACAAAGCCCTCACGTATCTCCTGGTCAATAGGTTTCGCGAACCCACGCACAATGATCATCGACGTGCAAGTACAGTAAGCGTTTACGGTTTCGAAGATAGTTTGATGACGTAACATGTTAGCGGTACTGTACTGTACTAGAAAGTTTATGCCTGAAGGTTATAACAGCAAACAGGCAGAATTCATTAGATTACGTTTCCATATTTGTCTCGTACATTTCTTCAAGAACAAGACAGTATTGTTTGCGGGCATTTCGTGTCATCATAAAGACCTAACGAGATAGCTTTTTGATCCTTGAGTCATCGCGATTGCAGGCGAAAAATGCGGGCAGATGGCCGACCACGCACGAAACAATCGTATAATTCATTCCACTCCTGAATAATATTAATATTATTAAGACTCCTCATTGCTGGAAACAACTGCCTGATGGATGGTATTTGTTCATTATAACTTGAATTTTGTGCTGTATGTTTAAATCTGAACATGTGTACCGTGGAGCTGCTAAATTGTTCCAAGAGTTCAAATTCCGGGAAAAAAAAAAAAAAACTCGGGATGTTTTCTCAGGATAAAAAATCTCCAAGCTTCATTGAGACTTTGTTTAACAACTAGGCCCTATTCATATATTTTAATATATTTATAATAGGGCGCTAATTATTCCGTACTTATCTAGGCTATGGTGTACGACGCTAAGAAAAAGTACCGGTACAGGTACCAACCATTTCATGGTCTACACATGTAGGCCTATAGGCCTACTTCAATTATGTTATAGGTCTAGGCCTAATTTATCATTATTAGGTTGTTAATAATATTTATTTATTATTATTCTCTTATTTTATGTTACAAGCGCTTTGTTAACGTGTTAAATATCATCATAATCATGAGCATATAACTGTTATTGTTGTTATTAGTTATAGTTCAGTGTTCAATTGTTTATTATAAAAAAACAACGCATTTAATATTTGGTTTACATTAGCTTACTTATGATAGCTCACACATAATCAATGTAAATATATTTGTATTTGTGTACAATGACAACAAAATTACCGTATGTTACCACATATGCATATACCTGTATTCCAGGCATATCTGGGCAAGCGCCGACATAGATATTACGTCATCACTCCTTTCTCGAATCTTAGCCATTATAATCAATAGTAGACGTTGAATTGATGAATGCGTAAAAAACATCAGTCGTGTGGCTATCGGGGAATACCTTCTTAAAACCACATCACCAATCTTCATTGTCGTGCGCAAATACCGCCCTCATCCACTCCACACGCGTTTCAACATAATCGTCATTTTTAACTTTAACGCGCGGCATCCAGTACAAAAATATGGACCGATAAGAAAATGTTTAATGCATGTAAAATTCTTGATAATTTATTACTCATCCGATGTTCATTTTCGTTGATGATATTGTAAATTTTAATTATTCTATTTCTGACTCATCCTCGGGTTCTATCGATCGAGTACAGAAGCCGGCTAAACAGAAATCATGCGAGTGACATTACATTGCGTCTTTTATTTAATCAATGGCTCCAGACTAAATATAAAAAAACAAATGTCTACTCTTACAGTAAGTAATTAGGCCTACGTTAAATTAAAAATTAGTAAACTTAGAACGAGATCATTCAATAAAATGTTGCCTGTATGCCCATGATTCCACGACGCTCTATTATTTTTTATGATAAAAAACTCGTACCGTGCCAAGGCACCCTCACGGAAATTTTCTAAGGCAAAACAAATGACGCCGCGCTTATTCAATAGCGGCGCTTACAAAAAAAAAAAAAAAAAAAAAAAAAAAAAAAAAAATGGGGGGGGGGCTT